GATCCATTGTTTTGAGATAGCCCCCTCTGTTTACTGCATCCATTTTAACTAAGGGAAGGACTGGCTCTGGACTAAGTCATTATTTGGTCTGATCCAAAATGACTGGTCTTATCTTACTATTCTTTCAACAATACTTATACAGGAAATCTTCACAATGGATTGTACCTCATTGGTTATATACATCTTTGTCTTCTGTTCTTTTTCTCTCACTTGCCCTCAACCAGACCGGGACAACTGCCTCAGGCAGCTGGTTCTCAAGAGCACCAATAGCAACCTTCTGGCGCTTTCTCCCGGATGCCTCAGCAGTTTCCTTTGGACGACATGTGTATGTTATACAACACCTGTCTGGACACCCTAAACTAGACTGCTACCTTGAATGTGGCAGAGGGAACTCTCCCATTGCTCATGCCTGAGTACTGCCAATCCAGTCAACTTCTGCTATGTGGACTAAGAAGGTCCCTGAACTTCCCACTTAAGGAGATGATGTTACTTTGTCTCCTAATAGAGCTGCTGTTGTTCCGAGTGATGTGACTCAAGCTTTGGAAACATTGCTTTTGTGTAATGTTGGCTGGCTGTGGGATTTTGGGAGTCGTAGTCCAAAAAAGGAGAAACATTTCCATGTTTTGATGGTCCCTGGTCGTGGTGGTGGTGATGGGGCATACCTAAAGACCAAGCAGCCAGCAATGGAACCTGCAGAAGGGGGGCAAGAAGACTTAGGACATGACCCATATATCAAGCAGCTGCTGTTCAGTGAAGGAAACATGTAGATCACTTACAAAAACCTTGTCCTTCTGTGCTGAAGGTTCCATCTACTCAGTAGCTTCATGGCTACTGAGAAATCATGGTTGGTGGTGAATGAAATATTTTCTATTGCAGACCCAGCAATGTCAGGTGTCTGCCCTGGAAAGACATCTCTGTTCCAAACAGAATTGCAAATTCCCAATTTGCTGGTCAAATAGCTTTTTAGGACTGCAAGTGTCCCTTTGGGTGAAGTATGCCCCCCCCACCAGTCTGTTACATCTGTGTATGTGTAAGTGATACCCAGTATGATGAAGTGGATAGAGTGGCAGACTAGACTAGGACTCTGGAGACCAGGGTTCGAATCCCCACTTGGCTATGGAAACTCACTGGGGGGAGGGTATAACTGGTAAAAACCCTCCTTAAAATATCTTACTTACCTTGAAAGCCCTGTTAGGGTCACTGTAAATTGGTTCCTCCTTGATGGAACATAACAACAATGTATAATGTAATCTCTGTAATCGGTACATATGGAACAAAACTCTGACAGCTTAGCTAATAGTGAAAGACACAAGCACCTTTTATTCCAGGCACTTCCCCCACCTTCACTTTTAAATGTTGTTGTTTTTTGTGGGTTTGTTTTGCCCCGAGAAAGGTAGTCAATGAGTCTTCATTGCAGGCACTGGTTTGGATGTGTAATTAGGCTCCTAGTACAGTGGTACCTTGACTTGCGAACTTAATCCGTATTGGAATTAAGTTCGTACATCAAAAAGTTCGCAAGTCACATCAAACTTTCCCATTGGAATGCATTGAAAACCGTTTAATCCGTATCTGCTGTTTTCCGTTCATAGGTCGAGGCGCTGTTCGTAGGTAGAGGCATTAGTTCCCATAGGAACTAATGCAAAGCCGGTTAATCCGTATCTACCACTAGGGGGTGATTTTTTTTTTTTAAAAAAAATCTTCTTCTGACCTAAAATGAACTTAAGTAAAAAAAAAAGGGACAGGAAAGGTTTTTTTTCTTCCTTCCTAAAATGAACTTAGGTCAAAAAAAAGGACAGGAAAGGTTTTTTTCTTCCTTTCTTCCTTTTTTTTGGTTTGTAAGTTGAGGCTCTGTTCACAGGTCAAAGTGACTTTTTGTGAACAGAGCTGTTCGTAACTCAAATCATTCGCAAGTAGGGACGTTCTTAAATCGATGTACCACTGTAATCAGAAGTGATCCACTATTCCCTTCTTCTCAAGACACTCTGGAGCTATGCAGCTTGCTCAAGGCTGCACTGGTCGGCTCCTCTCCAGGGATGGACAGTGGGAACTGAACCCCCAAATCTCTGGGCCTGCAGCCACATACCTAATTCACTAAGCTATCCCATCAGCATCACACATTCTTTATGTGAGGGAACACAGGGAACAATCATTCAATCTTTGTATTATCAAGGCTGCATATAATTTTAGATGCTGGATTAAGTAAAGAAAGCCAGAATAGCCAAGATGGGTACCTTTACCTATCATGTTGGAGGAGATGCAACTACAAAAAATAAAATCCCAGGTTTCCAGATGTATGTTTCCTCCAGACTAGGGGTGCCCTGCTGAAGGAGTGAATTTAGTATCCATAATGTTGTCATTTAGTCGTTAAGTCATGTCCCACTCTTCGTGGCCCCATGGACCAGAGCACACCAGGCCCTCCTGTCTTCCACTGCCTCCCGGAGTTGGGTTGAATTCATGTTGGTAGCTTCGATGACACTATCCAACCATCTTGTCTTCTGTCATTCCTTTCTCCCCTTGCCTTCACACTTTCCCAACACCAGGGTCTTTACCAGGGAGTCTTCACTTCTTATGAGATGGCCATAATGTTGTAGTTTTGTTAAAAAACAAAATATGGGATGTACCATAAAACAAGCCTTTCTAATGTCATAGAGCAACCTTTGCCAAGCTGATGGCCTTTTATCAGCCTCATCCAACCAGTGTGGCCAGTGGTCAGCTCTGATGGGATTTGTATGCAAACTGGTGGGCACAAGGCTGCAAAGTCGGGAACCAAGGAATGCTGGTTACACCGGGAAGGGTCAGCACAAATTGAAATCAACTTGATGGCATGTAATGAATTAAACAGCTGACTGGATAGCTCAGTGGTTTAGGTATCTGGCTGAGGAGCCAGAGCTTGGAAGTTTGATTTCCTACTGTGCCTCCTACGAGTAGCGCCAGTCTGTGTAGCTATAGGCAAACTGCACAATCCCAGGATGCCCCCAGAAGAAGCGAATGGTAAACCACTTCTGAGTATTCACTACCCAAAAAAACATGGAAAGGATTGCCGTAAGTCAGAATTGACTTGACAGCATGATGGTGATGATTTATTAACTAAACAGCCTGTGAGCTCAAATGAGATGGAACCAGGTCTGAGTTTACTGTGAGGACTTATAACCATCATCTTAGAACTGCAGAGCTCGAAGGGACCATATGGATCATTGTATTGTTTAAGATGAAGGACCAAACCTTGCTAACTTTCCAGCTCCCAGCAAGTCTATGGACTATTCTGGGAAAAATCAAACACCAATCCATCACTTGATAAGCCCCATTTGAGTGTCTGAACAGCCTCTCCTCCCTTATGATTCCAGACAGCATTCAAATTACAGAAGACTTGAAATAAAATCTCTTCGTTCCGCTGCCCACTTCTTTTAGTAACATCTTCCATAATGAAGACACTGATGATCTTGAAAGCTTGCACATTTGGGGTTGACCTATTGAAGCCATCACCCCAGGATGGATTCTGAATTTGTTCTATGGGTGTAGTTTTTATGCTTTTTCATTCACAAAGGTGATGGACACTTTGCTTCACAAAGGACCATGTCTTAAGACTGAGCACAGTTTGGTGTGGCTTTAGCTAATTATTAAGAATATGTATATGCCATGTCAACTTTTCCTCAGATCTTGTATAACAGTGGTGCTCAAAGTTTTTGGCATTACACTCCCTCTTCTATTTTGAGAAACCTTCACACTTGCCCACCTCTCCTTCACCATCATCCAGCCTCCTTTTAAGGAAAAAAATCTGTAATTTAAAGTTAAACATAAACACAAAAACTGAAGGCCAGTCCTGCCAATAGGCAGAGTGAGGTGGTTGTTTGAGGTAGCAGAGGCTGAACAACAGCATCAAGGTGTTGTTAAATAAAGCCACTGCATCTATGAGATTGACAAGCCTGAACTGTTAGCTTTTCCTCCTCAGGTGTTACGGGTGTTGTCTGATTACAAGTTGTAAAAAAAAATGCAGCTGCTAGGTAGTTGGCTTTAGCATATTAATAATGTGCCATCAATTCGGGCTCAAAGTGAACCTTTTCAGGATTTTCTAGGTAGAAAGGATTCAGAAGTAGTTTATTGTTCCCTCCTTTTGGGCGTGCCATGAGACTGTGCAACCACTGAGCTATCCTGCCAGCTTTAATACAGTATATTAAAGGATACCATTTTGTCCTTTGCTGGAAGCAGTGAAATATCTAGGTCTGTCCTGCCTGGACTGTGCCCACTATATTCTGAAATAAGGATGGTTTGACTTGCCACCTAAAGGCTGGCAATAAGAAAGCAGCTGAAAACTTTCAAAAGCATTCTAAATCATAGCATTTTACAGAACAGAGCAATGGGGAATCTCCTCTCCCTTCTTCATATAGATGAAGAAGGGAGAGGAGCAAAAAAGGGGGTATAAATATACATAGCTTTTACAAATGAACATGCAAAGCAAAGATGAACGGGGGGGGGGCTGGTGGACTGTATCCCAAGAGTGAGCAGGAAAGCAAGATGATGTTGGAGGGAAGAGAGTCATCCTAAACCTCACCCCAGCCAAGAACACCCAGCCCGGCTTCCTGTTGTTATTTACTATCCCTGTGCTTCTCTTGGCACACTAGAACTTCTTTCCTGTGCCTCTCCCCATCCCATTGGAGGATTACTGATAAGACAGACATTCGAACAACAGAATCTCCCCTGTTACATCCAATCACTGATCCACCTTCTCACCTTCAGAACTGAAAAGATGAGCTGGAAGAGCTGGAATCTCAAGGAGGGGAGAAAAAGAGGGATGTGTCCTATTGCTTTCACATTGTGAAGCAGGTCCGTGAGGCACGGATTCCTCTCCCCAGGATAGGTACTTCTGCCTTGTGGCTTTCTGGTGTTGTTTAATGGAAGTTCTGGACAAACTGGGAGTGTTCCAGCTGGAAGAACCCACAAAACCAGGTCTGGTTGTTTTTTTTTTAAAGAACTTAGAAAAATGGAAGTTTGATTGCCCCACCACTGCCTTTTCTGATCTCAACCTAATTAATGTAATAGTCACACATTAAATGATTGACAATCTACTAAGGAATATTACTTTCATATTTTTAATATCCATCACTTCTTGGTTCTTTCTTTTTACAGCTCTTTCCCAGGTGGCCAGTGGAGATCATAATGCCCTGGACTGAATCCCTCTGTGCCATGCAAGGTATCAATTTCACCAGTGATCTGCTAAGCCGCTTTTGTCTGTCCACTCCAAAACTACAGCCCCCAGGTTTTTCCTCCAGACATCTGCCACAGCCCCAGAAAGCAAGTTATCCTGTCAATGGCCTGGTTTGCCTTACAGTCGGCCTGCCTAGAGCACAAGCTGTCACATTCACTGCGAAAGGATTCTATTTTAGAGCAGATCATTTGAAGTACAGCCGCGTCTACCATATATTTGACCTACATCCCTCACATCGTCACAGTAAGCAGCGGGACAATGGACAAGCTGATCTTTCTCATACACAACCCTACAGGTAGTTATGAGGCCTCCCACACAATCACAGGATGGTATCTTGTGACAGATTCCCTGAATTCACCTTGCAGTCTGCTGTGTTCAACAGAAAGCTTTGGACCTAGGTCACTACTGCAGGATGCTGTCTGAGCCTAAGGAACCAAGACAACAAGGGAAATTCCCCGTTGCAGAGCCCTGTGTGCAGTGGCAGCAGGCACCCCTTGCGATCAGTTGGGGCAGAAGGCACAGCAGCCAAGGGTGGGCAAAATCAGGGTTGGCAGGTATAGCTAGGAACAAAAACGGGTGTTCTTCACACACAGAAAGGCAGGCAGGCAAGAGAGCCACAGCTTCACACATGCAGAGGAGAAAGCATGTGAACATTCATTCAGACACTTTGTCACCCCATGCCATTCATACCAAAGATCAGCTGAGGAGCAGGAAAAAAATACATCTTGCCCTAAATTTAAAATATTCCTACCTGTCGCTTCTTCTGTCTAGGGCTACTTGCACGGCTAGGCAGTGGGCTTGCACATTATCCCTCACCTTCATTATCTTTCCCTTCCTGCCCCTTCCCTCCTCTCTCTCACACACACTCAGCAGGAGGTGAACACAGATGGGGACCTGACCCTCAGCCTCTGGTAGGGAAGCAGGCGGCAGTAGGCTGGCTAGGGAGGCAGCCTGAGTCTGAGGTGGGGGAGCACCTCATTTGCTCTAATGGGTCAGCTTCCACAGCCTCCAGCTTCTGCAAGGTGTTCCAGCATCAACGGGCCATAGAGGTTATTTGCAGTGGGTATAGTGGGGGTGCAGGAGGAGGGCAGCCCCTTGACCGCAAGGATAGTGCTGCCAGTCCTTCTTGGGGCCTGCAACAGCAGCATGGAGTCGCTGGTGGCGGGCAAGGTGGGAGCTCCGGCTGAAGCGTTTGCAGCACTCTGGACAGGCATAGGGCCGCTCACCCGTGTGGGTACGCTGGTGCTCCAGGAGCCGAGCACTCTCACAGAAACACTTCCCACACTGAATGCAAGCGTATGGCTTTTGCCCAGCGTGGAGGCGCCGGTGCTGAGCCAGGTTGGAACTCCAGGAGAAGCACTTGCCGCAGCAGTCGCAGGTGTACGGCCGCTCCCCGGTATGCATGCGCTGGTGCTGCCGCAGGTTTGAGAGCTGCGTGAAAGCTTTGGAGCAGTCTGGACACTGATAAGGTTTTTCTCCAGAGTGCGTCCCCAAGTGCCGCATCAGATGGGAGCTTTGGCCAAAACCCTTCCCGCATTCCATACACTTGTAGGGTTTCTGGCTTTCGCTGGTGGAGATGTGCATAGGTTTGGTGGAGAGGACCCGCGCGAAATCTTCGGTTCCTTCTCTCCCATGACTTGGTTCCAGACACACATTCTGGTGCTCACTTCCCTCCGATTCTTCTTTTGACAACATCTTTTTGACAACAGAGGCTTCCTGCTCAGGTTCCCTTCTGACATCTGTTCAGACAGTATCAACAGGTATTAACTTAAAGCAAAAAAAAAATAAAAAATAAAAAAAATAAAAAAAACCACATTAGGATCAAACTAGACATTGGTTCAGACAGTATCAACAGGTATTAACTTAAAGCCAGACCAAAAAAAAAAACACATTAGGATCAAACTAGACATTAAGGTGATGGCTTGTTTCTTACATTTATTTATTTTAAATATTTTTAATCCCACTTTTTGCCTTAAAAAAGATCCAAGGCAGAATACACTGACAAGCTTCTCAACAGACTTGCCAATGAAGCCCATGTTTACTTTCTAATGACCAATCGCAAAACCAAGCACCCTTTTTATGTGGGGCCAGTGCAGTTGGAGTGTTGGCTTAGGTAGAACTCAGGAAAGGAGGGTCCAAATCCCCATTTAGTTATGTGTCTATTAGCTGATCGTGGGCCACTCCCACCTTCTCGGTCTGACCCAGGTCTCAGGAAGAGAGCCATATTGTAGGCAACCTTGAACTCCCTGGAGAACAGGCATTAAAGCAGTCACGAGTCTGGGAACCTGGACCCGTCAACCTCAGAAAATATACTTCCCCCCCCCTCCCGGCACATGCACCTTCCCTTAAGTGTAAGGAGGATGTGCAAGGGCGACATCACCCTATACACTTACACCTGCCTCCCATCCCATCCCATCCTATTTTGCACCTGTGCACACCGCTCTCTGCAGAATCCTCCTTTCCAGCCTCCCTCTCCGCTAAAGCCCGGGTCCCTCCTTGCTCCAACAGCAGGGGGAGTCACGGAGCAGCCGGCCCTGGATCTCCGCTCCGGAACTAGGAGAAGGCGGTGCCTTGGGTGAAGAGCGAAGGGGAAAGGGGGAACAAAACAAAGAGTCGGACCATTTACGGCCCAACAGTCTCCGCTCAGGCAGCCGCTCTGGGTTGCTCTATGATTTTAACCCTAGCTAGTCTTTATAAATAAGTTTGCGCAGGTGCTCGTGGGGGACGGAGTCGCTGCGCTGTTTGACTCGCGTCTCACTTTTCCAGGCCCCATAAGATGCGTGTCCTCCCAGAAAGGAAGTGGAGAACCAAAGAAAATCCTAGCTGTATTTATTATTTTAAGATGTACGGGCAATAGGTAGTGCGGTCCTCATCAGAAAAAAAATTTGGTGTGGTATATACGGGATAAAGTGAGGACCCAGGAGACCTATTCCTGCACTCACCCTAGACATTTAGTGGGGTGTCAATGGTGTACAACTTGAAAACCCTGTTAGTGCCATGTCAGAATTAACTTGGCGCCACATAACAACACAAACCTGCTGTATTGCAGTACTGCATGCTATGTGCACAAGTTGTGATAATGTAGCACCATTCCAGCATTGCCAACACCTCCTCTTCTGAAACGTTCCTACAAATATTCTCGATTCATAACAGGCAGAAATTCATCAGGTTCATTCCTCTCTAGTTTAATGAGCTACCCAATTTTATGCTGTGCTGGCTGGTGGTTTAGGTATCTTGGGATTTCAATTCCCCACTGTGTTTCCTGTGAGAAGAGCCAATCTGTGTGGCCTTGAGCAAACTGCACAGTCCCAGGATGCCCCCAGAAGCAGGGAATGGTAAACCACTACTGAGTGTTCTCTGGAAAAGCCTGAAAAGGGGTCACCATAAGTCTTAATTCACAATAGAGCCAATCTGTGTGGCCTTGGGCAAACTGCACAGTCCCAGGATGCCCCCAGAAGCAGGGAATGGTAAACCACTACTGAGTGTTCTCTGGAAAAGCCTGAAAAGGGGTCACCGTAAGTCATAATTCATGACAGCACATGATGATGATGAATTCTCTGCTAGAAAGTTTTATTAATATAGTTTAGGAACAAAAACTAGGGCTCCTGTTGCCATATTTGTTATCACAGGAAACTTGTACTGGGTCGAATTGTTGGTCTAGCCCAATATTGTCAAGTGTGACTGGCAACAACAGTTTTCCTGAATTGTAGGTAAGATTCTTTCCCAGCCCTACTTAGAGACCCCAGGTATTGCTCATCTAAGTACTAACCAAGCCTGAACCTGCTTAGCTTCTGCAATCAAAGGAGACAGGAAGGCACATTCAAGATGGTATAGTGGATTCTAAGCACTGTCTTATGGCCGATTTTAGCAAAGCAATCACTTTGTCTACTGATGGATAAAGAATAAGCAATAATCACACAAAATACTTTTAAGCCTTTTTTTAAAGCTTTAATGTAGTTGAATGAAGCCACGGCAATTATGAGATGAGATGTGAGACATTCATAGGTGCAGAAATATAAATGTATGTTGATAAAGTTAAGTTATAGATGGAAAGCAGAGCACTTGAAACTACAAAAATTCTGAGAATTGGAATGTTCACCTATCTAACAGCATCAAGACAACTGGAAATAAAACCAAAGTAGCCTTTTTCCTTTGTGCTAAAACTTTTTTAGTTCTAGTGTCTAAGACCTACGTGCTCCCTACACATAATAATCATGAAGAGGGGAGACAGGCTTTTCAGATCTAGCCTCACAGATCTTTGTTGCCTTTTTGGGATGAAGGAGTATAAAGGAAGTCTGATGCCACCAGAGACCATTCTAGCCACTATATTTTGTTTTACACAGCAGCTAGCCCAGTTCTTCTGGAAAACCTGCAAGCACAACCTGAAGGCAATACAGTGGTGCCTCGCAAGACGATGTTAATTCGTTCAGCGAAAATCGCTGTCTTACGAAAACATCGTCTTGCGAAACGAAAAAGCCCATTGAAATGCACTGAAACCGGTTCAATGCATTCCAATGGGCTGAAAACTCACCGTCCAGCGAAGATCCTCCAGGGGGCAGCCATTTTCGCTGCCTGTAAAGTGGGGAATCCGTCCTGAAAACACAGCGGGAAGCCATTTTGCCCAGCGGGTGGCCATTTTAGAACCTCCGATCAGCTGTTTCTTAATAGTCGTTTAGCGAAAAATCAGTTCCCGAAGCAGGGAACCGATCATCATTAAGCATATTTTCCCCATAGGAACATTATATTGCGATCACTTGCGATTGCAAAAACTTCATCGTCAAGCGGTTTCGTTGTTTAACGAGGCAATCGTTAAGCGAGGCACCACTGAAAACCTCATTCAAGGGTGGAAGAGTTACTTTGTAAACTGCAAGTTCCAGTAGGCTGAGGGATTATGGGAATAGTAGTCCATAAAAGAATCTTCTTCAGCTCTAATGAGGTGCAGAAGTTGAAGAAATTGAAGCAAAGGGACCAGAGAAGAAATGGGATGGGAAATGCTTGTGGCCAACCTTTGAAAAAACAGACTAGATCTTCAGGCTGCAACTGGGCAACTTCGTAGACTGGAATTTTTGCTGTACACGCTCAGTTTATTAACCTCTCCCATTGTCTCTCTCTCTATAATCTAACCACATAAGAAATGTCTGCTCTCTATCTTCAGGGAAGGATATACCACTTAAACAACATTTGAAAAAGAAGATAGAAATGTCTGCTCTCTATCTTCAGGGAAGCATATACCATTTAAACAACATTTGAAAAAGAAGATTACAGTATTATTTATCATTATTTACATTTCTATCCCACTTCCCAGTCAAAACCCAACCCGTTGGGGTTTACAATCATCACAACATATAAAACAACCAACAACTACAGTAAAAAGTATTTCAAACAATAAGAACAATAGAAGAAGCAACAGGGCAAAAGAATGTGTTTACAAAATAGACTGCTAGTAATAAGAATAGCTTTGCTGGTATTTCACAACCTTACCCCTCCCACTTTTTTCTCCTTTTTAATGAGAAGTGGGCAACGTTTGGTTGTCCAGATGTTGTTGGACTGTGACTTCTACCGCTCTTCACCATGAGTGATGCTGGCTAGGGCTGATAGGCCTGGTTGCTCAGCATCTGGAGGGTCAGCATTTGGCCACCGTTGTTTCAAATTGTTACAAGAACATTTCTGCACTAGGGGGTTGCCCAGAATATAATGTAAAGTAAAACACCATCCATGATATTGTGGCCCTATCCAGCTGGTGTTTAGGACACATGAAGCCATATTTTAGACAGCCGTCCAGACTGCAAGCTGGTAAAACAATGGCACTGTTCCCACTAACAATAGATTGCTGTTTGATCACTTCGAAAGTGCTTTATCCCTGACACAGGAGTGCCTCATTGATGGAATGTACCTGGATCCATGCAAAAACAAAACAAAAACAACAATAGTCATCTCCAGGAAGGTCCTACCTTTATACCCAGTGGTAAGGCGTATAGGTCAAGGACAAAAGGACACATGAAAAGGATTAAATTCTCACCTAATGAATAATGGTCTGGTCCTTCTATAAATTTCAGTGATGTTCTTCAAACAGCGTAGGACAGCAACTCAATATTTCTGTCACTAGCCATGATCCTTTCATTGAGTTGAAGATTTAAGCAAGAGAAGGGTACATTTAAAAGTATGCCTTATCTACCCAACTAAAGAGAGGAAGGCCTAAAAATCCAGAGAATGTAATTTCGAGGCACACTTGATCTTTTTTTTTCAAAATTAGCCACTAACCCAGGATGTTGCCTTTAGTTCCAGTGTATCTATGGAAAGCTCACATCCCAAGAACCCTCTCTTTCATGTATTTGACTGTGACCCAAAAAAAATCAAAGAAAAATTCCACATTTCCCAACAGCACACTTACAATAAAGCATGCAAATTAAGGCAAAGTATGCATGTCTGCACATGTGTTCTTGGTCTTGTTTTTTTCATGATAAAAATCTGAATTTTCTGCTTGTTGAATTTTGCATTTCTGAATGTGACTCGTCTTTTTCTCAGTGTCAGTTTTCCAAAATTCTGAGATAGAAAGTTCTGGTGTCCCTTTGCAAACAGGTTTGGGCCCTGACCTTTCTTATGGTGGGCACTTCTAAGGCTTCAAAAGAATCATATGGGTTTTCTGATGTGTGCTGAGGCCAGATCTCTGCCGGAAACATTTCCCACACTCGGTGCAGCGATAGGGTTTCTCCCCTGTGTGGATTCGCTGGTGGATGGTGAGGTGAGAGCTGACGCTGAAGGTCTTCCCACACTCATCACATTTATAAGGCCTCTCCCCTGTGTGGATTCGCTGGTGCAGGATGAGGGTGGAACTCTGGCTGAACCTCTTCCCACACGCTTGGCATTCGTAGGGTTTCTCTCCCGTATGGACCCGCTGGTGCTTCGTCAGGTGGGAGCTCACCGAGAAGCACTTCTCACAACTGGTGCACTTGTACGGCTTCTCTCCCGTGTGGATGCGGCGGTGCAGGACCAAGGTCGAGCTCTGGCTGAACCTTTTCCCACATTCGTTGCACTCGTAAGGCTTCTCGCCGGTGTGGGTTCTCCGGTGGATAGTAAGATGGGAGCTCACCCCAAAGCTTTTCCCACAATCGGAGCACGGGTGGAGCTTATCAGCAGAACGGGGGGCTTTTGAAGGCTGCTTGAGGTTTGGCTGAACCTGGCCGAGGCTTTGCTGTGCTTGGGCAAGATTCTCTCCACACTGGACACACAAGCTCGGGCCAGGCCCCATGAATACCCGCGGCGGGATATTGGGCTTCTCTTTCGGCACTGGAGGCAGAAGAGGTGCCTTGGCCCATCCTTTCACATTGTCCTCGCCTTGCTGCCCTGCGTGGCTCTGGTTGGGATAAAGGGATCCTTCAGACCATCCCAGTGTCTGCTTCTGGGTTTGTCCAGTCTCGGCACCTCCGGCCTGAGGGTTTGGGTTCGTGGTCCCTCCATCTGCCAAAAGAAAAAGAGTGAAGCCTGCACGGGGAGGAAGGTTGTGCTGTTTCAATATTCACAGGCTGGCTACTTGTGGCCCCTTTGTTTTTGTTGCCTGCAGTCTCCATTAGCTGTCCCCACCCCGGTCTGTGGCTGATGGGAGAGGCAGCCCAACAAAGCTCTGGAGGGCTTCACTTTGCCTGCCTCTGCCATATATATTATGTTAGTTTATATCTTTAGTGGAGATTGTTTACTTTGTTATTTGAGCTGGTGCTGCCCAGACCAAGCTCTGTGAATAAACTGGGTCAGAGGAGCCAAATTAAAGAAAAACTCATTTGCTTATGTTACAATGTAAAGTTCATTGTTCTGCATGAAGGGCCACATTATACTGGGGAAACTAACCGGGGCCTGTAATACATAAGGCTTTGATTCTTACCAAAGAAATAATGGCTTCACGCTGATATCTAACATTGGACATTCTGCTAACTGACTGAATTCTATGGGGATTCCACCAGTGTTATTTAATTTCTCCACAACAATTAAAAGCTGTGAGTATTTCCATGATGTACAGTTGTGAATGCATAAGGACAGGGAATATACTCATCACTTTCTTTTGTTTCTTTCCATCCACCACAAGATGGAGTCATCCTAATCTTGGAAGAATTTTTAGAACAGGATTTTGCGGCCTAAGAGACATGCAAGCTTCTGGCTTACACAGAATGTCTCCTCCTTGATCAAGGGTTCGGTGTAAACCAGAAACTTGCACAATCTAAAACCAGTCAGGGTCATTTTCATATCTGTGGGACCTCGAGTTTGCAATAGGTCATCTTTATTCTTTCTGGTTTTTTAAAGAAAAGAAATGAAATCAAAAGAAAGAAATTAAAAAAAATCCTTACCTAGCGAGAGTAGAGTTCCATAATTGTCCTGCACAATGTCCCTGTAGACAGGTCTCTGGCATGGGTCCAGAAGGGCCCACTGTATCTCAGCAAAATACATCAGTCACTTCTGCAGAAGGCTCTGGCCTCTGAAAAGAACAAGGGTCCCTTTCTGAGAATCCAGCACCAACCAAGTTGCCTTGGGTCTCCTTCTGGCCAGATCTTCTGCGCCCACATCAGCTCCCTTACTCTCAAAGTCTAAAGGCCCCTCTGAGGCAGTCCTTCAGTCTCTGCTCTCTAACCTGCGACCCTCCAGAGGAGGAGGCTGGACTCTGAGTCCCATCAAGCTCCAGTCAGCAAGGTCAACAACAGTCAGGGAGTGATGGGTGCAGTGATCCATCCACAAACCCTGCTCTGTATCCATTCTGCTCTTACTTCCTGTCTCCTAGGCAAGGCCTGCCGGGTACCTTCTAGCAGCGGCCTGGACAGGCAGAAAGTCAACAGGTGAAGCTCCTGCTGAGCAAGGTGGAGCAGCCATGGGGGAAATGCACTGCCTGCTGAATTTCATTTCCATGTGGGTTTGTTTCTCTCTTTTTAATGAAAGCACATGGGCCTTGTTGTTTTCTCTCCTTTTGAAGAGGGGGGTGGTTTGATGACAGACTTTCTCAGTGCCTCCCCCCAAGCACTCGCGTCGAGAGCTACGTCATTCTCACGTATTTAAGGGGTTCCCCCTTCCACCACCACCCTAACATCTCTTCTTTAATATGCATGGAGGGAGGAAGCGACGTCTCTAAACCCCTATGGGGGGGATCGTTGGGAAATACAAGTAATGTTTAAAAACAGGGGCTAACAAGAATGCCACGCCTGCCTGTATGTGATGTATTTCTCGGTGTGATTGTACACAGTATGTGCGTGTCCTCAATCCACTCCGCCGCCGCGGCCGCCCCCCCCCCCGCAACTCGCCTCCCCACTTACTAGGAAGTTGGCTGGCTCCGTTTATACTGGACTTTGGCCGGATCCCAACCCCAAATTACCTGGAAGTCTGTCTCTGGCTTGGGCGATTTTGTTTTCTTGGCACGGCGGGCTGTCTCTCCTTCACAGAAAGAGCAACAGCGGCCGTAATAAAGAGCGAAAGATCAGATGGAGAGAAAAAAAATCTGAAGGGGATCTTTTAAAAAAATTGAAGGTTTCCGTCCAGGGAGGGAGGGAAGGAAGGAGGAAGGAAGGGAGACAGGCAGGCAGGCAGGCAGGCAGGCGCTGAGGCGGGCTGGATGAAGCTGGGCGGCTGCTGTACGAAAGCAGGAGAAACATCAACAACAGGCTTGCTCTCTTTGCTTCTGACCTGGGAAGTTCAGCCCCCAAAAATCGTCAGCGAGAGAAAGACTGAGAATAGTCGCCTCTTTCCTTTTTTTTTCCTACCCTCTCCTTTCCTTCCTCCCCCCCTTTTTTTTTGACAATGGCCACCGAGCCCTCTAGCGGCATCACTTCTGCCTAGCACACACGAGGAACAACCTCCTACCCACCGATTCCCTCCCCCCGAAAAAAAAACCCAAGAACCAGGAGAGAAATCCGGTAGCAACCTTTCTCTTCTTCCCCCCCCCCCCACGTCCTCTGGTCCGGGTTGCGGCCTAAGAGCAACAGAAGAAGAAGATGATGATGAAGAGGGAGGCCGGCGCGATCGGATCTGAACTCAGGGCTTAATTCGCCTGTTGGCGGCCTTTGGAGAAGGAAATCAGAGAACAGGGGAGAGCAGTGTTTAAAACCAGAGTTTGGGGGAGATTACATTTGGCGGAATTACGACTCCCCAAACTTCCCAGCCAGCCATGCTCTGGGGGATTTTGATGGCTGTAGTCGCCCCAAAAGTAATGTTTCCAAGCTATGGTGCGGAACTGGCAGGAAGTAAAGAACCCGCAGAAGGCCATTTCGGTGGAGAGGGAAGTGATCTCTTTGCTTGCAGGCTGCTAGGTATTTTTAAAATTATTTTTTAAAAGTTTAATGACTTAATGTTATTCCTAACTTATCCAGTATCAGCCAATCTCAGAATAGGGTAGGGCCAGTAAAATCAACTTAAAACAATCTAAATTAATGGATTTCCCAAGAAGCAGCTGCATTTAGTCTGCTTCAATAGATGTAAGAAAAATAAACAAAATAAATGTCTGGTAGCATCTCTCAGCGAATATGTTTATTTTGGTGCCTGAGAAAGGGGACCAACATCCATGGAAAGTTCAGTCAGAAATTAATCTGTTAGTCCCAAAGGTGCAACATGGCTTTTGTTTTGTTTGGTATTTCTGGCTGCATGAGAAAAACAAATAAAACGGTTTTTAAAAGTTAACAGTTCAAGTAAAACAAATATAGGATAGATCAGCAGTTGATTTCCTTAGGCCCTAAATGTTCAGGGACACAGCCTTGGTATCATCACATGTTTCCACAGTAAGGATCAAATACAGTATGAAAAGTCTAGGCAATATAGTGGTGTGGGGGGCAGTTTTTGAAGTGAGGGCAATCACATTGTATTCCCTCATAGGCACAGCCTCAAGAAGTCTCCAAAATGCAGGCAGCTAAAATAAAATTAAAAAAAAGTAAAAGGCAAAGAAGTGGCTGTACCTCAAATACTAACTTTTATACAGTATTTTTATTGTAAGCTTTCGTGGGCAAGCTCACTTCATCAGACATAAGAAAAGGAGATGTAACATGGCAAATTTCTATAAATGGCATCAAAATATAGATATCAAAATACAGTACAGAGATTGTGGCTGGTAAGGATTTGTAGCAGTTTTCATCCTTGCCAGGAACAGGTTATTTTGTAAGCGTAATGTGTCTTAATTGCCTGTTCATGACCAAGCTACCTCACAAAATTTCCTTTGCACTCTTGATGACAAACATCTGTTTCCCCCTCAGCAATTCTGAGACAGAAGGAACACAGGGGGAATCTGTGGCAAATACTATCAATAGATAGGTAAAGGTTCCCCTTGACATTTTAGTCAGTCATGTTCGACTCTAGGGGGCGGTGCTCATCCCCGTTTCCAAGCCGTAGAGCCAGCGTTTGTCCAAAGACAGTTTCCGTTGTCACGTGGCCAGCGCGGCTATACACGGAACGCTGTTTACCTTCCCACTGAGGTGGTACCTATTTATCTACTCGCATTTACATGCTTTCGAACTGCTAGGTTGGCAAGGAACTGGGACAAAGCGACGGGAGCTCACTCTGTCGCATGGATTCGATCTTACGACTGCTGGTCTTCAGACCCTTCAGCACACAAAGGCTTCTGCGGTTTAGCCCACAGCGCCACCTCGTCAATAGATAGCCTTTGCTAATTGAAAAGTTCTGCGGTTTAACCCGCAGTGCCACCACGTTAATAGATAGCCTTTGCTAATTGAAAAGTCTGAGGTCTTTGTGAGTCCTAGGTCTACCATGTACGTGCTTTAATGGTAGGTACTTTACGAGAAGCTCTACTAGCGTCTAACTGGAAAATGAACTAAACAGGCCTTTCATCTAATGATACAACAAAACCTGTTGTACTTTTAGGATATTCAAAAATCTTGCAAAAATTGAAAAAGTCCACATTGTGAAAATTAACTAATGATTGTAGGGGATTTGGAATCAAACAAGTAATGCCCCCCCCTTTTTTTAAAAAATCTGATGCAACAACCCCTACAATTTAATCTCCAGCTTTGCTTGTGTAAGGACTGTGTTGTTTCTCTTTTCTTTTATATCTCTTTAGGGATTTAGGTGTTTTACCTAAGGCAAGAAGTGAATCTTTAAACTGCAGCTAGCCTTGTGTTTTTTTAGGAATAGGAAACCATCTTTGTTTTCTTCACTCCAGGCAGAAAGCATGACTACCTATGAGCTGATAACTATACTGATGACTTACTTGATTTGAAATCTCTGTCTTGTGAGTTCAGCAGACGTCCTTTATGGCCACAACAATACCTGGCCAGATTTTTTTTATGTCCCTGCTTCTTTTCTCCATCTGCCTTGCCTCATGAAGAGTTCTAGAGAACATGGAAGCCTGCATTCAGGATTCGGATCCCCACATGGCCACAGAAACTCACTGGGGGAATGTAACCAGTAAAACTAATCCTTTAATATCTCACCTTGCAATCTCTATTAGGGTCACTATAAATTGGTTTTTACTTGACAGCACGGAACACACACAATAAAGGTATTAACCACCTATGAATTTGTTTCTTTAGGAAGTTCTAGTTAATCACCACCAGGAGCTTGAATTGACTTGCAATCTCTATTAGGGTCACTATAAATCGGTTTTTACTTGACAGCACAGAACACACACGATAAAGGTATTATCCACCTATGAATTTGGTTTAATTCTTTAGGAAGTTCCAGTTGATCACCACCAGGAGCTTGAATTGGGATTCTTATCACCCCACATGTAGTACCACAATGTTTGTGTTATGAAAAACAATTTTCTGAATGGTAAATAAAAACAATAATATGATTATCTATCTGATCTTACTGTCTACAGTTGCATCTCCAGCCACTTGTCTTTTATTTACACAGTACCTGACATTCTGGATCACACTTTGTGCATCTGTTGGAGTGTACTACAGTCTATAAAAGCTCATACTATAATAACTTGGTTGGTTTTTAAAGAGCAACAAAACCACATAATTCATTGATCATGTTTCTGCAGGGAAGGAGATTGTGCTTGGTACTGTAATCTGCTCCCATTAACCCCAGCCAAGTCTATTCCCAGATGCATACTGTAGCTCCATTCTGAGCCATGCTTTTGGTCATTCTGAAAGTGACAAAATGCTATGAATGCACAATAGAATGCTGGCAAAATGGAATGGCATGTTGCAATCTATGTATGGAACATTGGTGATGATGAGGATGGTTTATATTTGTTGGGAAACATGGGTGGGAGGGTACTGCTGTACTCATATCCTTTTTGTGGGCTTTCCATAGACATCTGGATGACCATTATATGAACAGAATGCTGGATCAGAGGGGCCTTGGGTGGGATTCAGTATGGCTTATGTGTAGTCACTATGTACTACCAAGTTGCTTTCCATTTATGGGCCAGTGTTCTTTTGTGGAACTTTCCTGTGCAACAGGAATTATGTCCCCAGCACCAGCTGCTAAACAGTTATTCTCTCGATTT